GGGTGGGTGGCAGGGGCAGGCCCACCCCCCTGCACCCCCCCTGTGGCAAAGCACTGCTTTCAGAAGCCTCCTGGGGCTTGTTCAGGAGTGGAAAAGCACCCGGGAGGCTTCTGAAAGTGGCGTTTTGCCCTAGGGGGTGCATGGGGTGGTGGGCCTGCCCCTGCCACCCACCCATCCCTGGCAAAGCACCACTTTCGGAGGCTTCCTCGGTGCATTCCCACTGCCTGTTTACCTGCTGGGCAATCCTGGGGAAGCTTCTAAGACCCAGTGCCGATCAGCTGTTAGGTGGGGAGAGGGAGGGGAAAGGAGCGGAGAAGAGCACAAAATGGCTTGGGCTCCCTGCTGGGTGCCGGCTCTGAGCTGTTTGGCGCTCTTTTTCCTGCTGTTCTGGGGCTACCAAGGCAGTGTGAGGAGCCGGACTCAGTCTACAGTACCTGGTAAGTGACTTTATTTTAATTTTTTTTGTTTTGGACTTTTCCCCCCATAGGAACACATTAATTAAATTTCAATGCATTCCTATGGGAAACCGTGCCTCGCAAGACGAAATTTTCGCTAGATGGCATTAATCATGCAACCGATTAATTTCATCTTGCGAGGCACCACTGTACTCTAATTGCAGCTTACTACGCTAAGCAGCAAGAATTCAGCCAGTTGAAAACACAGTTTCTGTATGAGCTGTGGAACTGTGTTCATCCTCCTTGGATACGGATTCTCTTCCATCTCCTGCTCAACATTATTCATTTGCCATTATGAATAACACAAGAAACTACAGTTTGACTACATTTTTGAGTCAAGGATAAACTTTAACTATGGACAACACCAATTTATACAAGCATGACAAAGCTACAGTTAATGCTAGAAACAGAATATGAGAGTGAAAGAGAGCATGTGAACCCCTTGGGCTTTATCTAATCTTCCAAACCATGATATGTTGGAAGAAGTCAATATAAACAGAATGCCTCCTCTATATGGAACTGTAGAGTACTGTTCATATACCACTTCATACACAACTGCCTTGCAGACCAGGTAGATAAGAAAAAAATGATGAAATGTAGCATATCATCACATACTTAAAGAAAAAAGTGTATTGTCTTCCCTCTCTCCATGTCTATGCAAAAGGAGAATGGGGCTGGCTCGGCAAGGATCAGATCTGCCTGGTCCCAAGAACTGGAAACCTTATAATGAAACTGTATTTCACCACATTCAACAAGAAGGGGAATTCACACTACCTTCCCACATTTAATCATACATTCATCCATTCAAGCCCTTTACAATGCTTCCAAAAATTAGTCAATATATTGTTTAAGCACACAAGAAAGTATTTACTGTTAGTTTTTGGTGTGAAAATTAAATGGGGAAGATATTTTGAAAGTTCAGCTGAAGTACTGGTCTGCTAGCTTTCAAGCCTAACAGAATGTTAGAGTAGACAATGTCTAAATGGGCAGCACATAAGTGCAAAAAAGAGCATTTTTAAAAAATTTAACATATTTTTACCTTGCCTTTCTTCTTTAAAAAGAACCCAAGGCAGATTACATAATTAAACGACAATATTTGTAGCTAAAAACAGTAAATATACAAGTACTAAAAATGTTCAAACACATACAATCTAATAATGTATACTTTAATAGACTGTAGGCACAGAATGCATTATTCATTGAGATAAATTTATTGTTGTTTATGTGATTGTGTGGATAACTGGGTTATGAGTTGTGAATTATAATCTCTGTTATTGATCCTGTTTTTATTTTAAGGACCATCAATTTTTTTAATAAAGATATAAGTTGTAGCCCCCTCCTCCAGACCATGAAATGCACAGGATGAACTTGAAGGAGTAATTCTGGCTCAGTTTAGTTCACAGGATTGTTGTGAGAAATATAGTGGTGAAGAAGAGAGCTGTGTTTCACTTGAATACATGGACATAAAAGGCAGCATATAAACTAAATTTAAATAAAATAAAATAAACAACAACAACAACAACAACAACAATGGCAATTCTGCCCATTCTACACAGTGCTTCTTGTGCATACTACTGTATACATTAACAGACTGTACGAACAGAATGCATTATTCACTGAGATAAATTTATTGTTGTTTATGTGATTGTGTGGATAACTGGGTTATGAGTTGTGAATTATAATCTCTGTTATTGATCCTGTTTTTATTTTAAGGACCATCAATTTTTTTAATAAAGATATAAGTTGTAGCCCCCTCCTCCAGACCATGAAATGCACAGGATGAACTTGAAGGAGTAATTCTGGCTCAGTCTAGTTCACAGGATTGTTGTGAGAAATATAGTGGCGAAGAAGAGAGCTGTGTTTCACTTGAACACATGGACATAAAAGGCAGGATATAAACTAAATTTAAATAAAATTAAATGAAATAAATAAAAATAAAAATAACAACAACAACAACTATAGCAATTCTGCCCATTCTACCCAGTGCTTCTTGTGCATACTACTAATGTATAGCTGTGGATGCATGATCAACAGGTATGCATAGGCTGGGTGATGGAATGATTGGAGGATGACTGATGGAATGTTAGGTGCAGGGCTGAATGCTGATTGGTTGGTGTGTCTGAAATATGAAGGAAGGGACGTTATGCACAGTGGCAGTTAGGCACTTAGCGAAAGAGTTTGTTCTGGGGTAGTCACAGGAAGAAGAATCTGTTTAGAGACTCTGTTGTGTAGAATCCGTGGGAACAGTTAATCCTGACCTTGGACATAGGAGAGTAGTCTGGGTAAAGTATGTGTGAATATAGTCAATGAATATAGAATCAGAGTTGTTTTTCTCAGCAATTTTAATACTGCATAATTACTGTATTTTTCGCTCCATAAGACGCACCTTTCCATAAGACACACCAATTTTTTAGGAGAAGAAAACAGGAAAATATAATCTGTTTTCTTTCCTCCATAAGACTCACAGACTTTCCACCCCCCTGTTTTGTGGGGGGAAAGTGCGTCTTATGGTGCGAAAAATACGGTACCTTTCCCCCTTTCTCACATACTTGTCCATTCCAAGTAAAATAATTTTGTTTGCTCTAAATACAGCTCAGACACACCAATTTTTTAGGAGAAGAAAACAGGAAAATATAATCTGTTTTCTTTCCTCCATAAGACTCACAGACTTTCCACCCCCCTGTTTTGTGGGGGGAAAGTGCGTCTTATGGTGCGAAAAATACGGTACCTTTCCCCCTTTCTCACATACTTGTCCATTCCAAGTAAAATAATTTTGTTTGCTCTAAATACAGCTCTTTATATTACAGTGGACCCTTGACTTACAGACAGCTTGACTTACAGACTTTTTGAGTTACAGACTTCTCTGGCCGCAAAATTTAGGTTTGACTTGCAGACTGAGAATTGACTTACAGACCAGAAAAAACCAAACTGGAACAAAAATGGCCTGTTACGGGATTACAGAGTTGTTTTTCTCAGCAATTTTAATACCTCATAATTACTTTTCCCCCTTTCTCACATACCTGTTCATTCCAAGTAAAATAATTTTGTTTGCTCTAAATACAACTCTTTATATTATTTAAGTATAGTTTTACTAAAGAGCATTGAACGGCCAATAATAGTACAGCACCCATATCTATGCAGGCCACACAGAAGAAGAAGCATCTTCATTAATTGGACCTTTTCACTCAACAATAAATTGAAATATAAAAACCAGCTGCGGCAAGATGGCTCTGGCTATGTGGCACACTTAAAAAGGCAATCCCAAATGCTGAAAAAGGTTTGAGGGTTATTGTCCCTAGGTAAATTCCTAAACCTGCAGTGCAAATGAGGGGGTGGTTGGAATGACTACCTGTGAACTAGTGTGGCAGCTGTGAGAAAGGACGCCTCCCTAGAGACATTGCCCTAACAAATGGATAAATGGCATTCTGCATAAAAACCACCACAGGGCAGGAATATTGGATATATGTATTATTTTGTTAGACAGAAAGTGCACTGAAGAGACTGAATCTGAATACAAACAAAAATACAAACAGTTCTATTATAATTTTGTAAAAATAATAGGTTATGTAAAGCCAAAAAAAATTTGCTGTTCAAATCTTGTGCACATTATGAAACACACACGCAACGAATGGTATCTCTTTTAACCTGAGCATAGGTCCCACTGCAGACCACTCCATTCCACTTTGTAACATTAATGCAATCTGGATGTCGAATCAGATAGTTATCTATTCTGCCAGCATAGGTATCCTTGTATTCAGTCACAGATCCATCTACATCATGGAATATTGAGTTCTTGTCACCATCTAGATCAGCCTCTTCAAACCAAGGGCCAGGCTTGCCAAAAAAGACTTTCAGAGACACCTTACAAGACAAGAAGAATATTAATTAATTAATATCTTGCCATTAATTAGCCCAAAACTATCTTCAAGCAGACATCGCTTCCCCATCTGGAAAAAGCAAATGGCAATCACCAAAACTTACATTTTCACCAAATTTCACCAGGGAAATGTTGTTTTGAGGAGTAATTTGCCAAGTGTTTTTCATTAGGAATCCAATGGCGCTTGTGAATCTGTCTGGAGTTGGCAAAAAACTGTTAAACGTGCATTTGGTGAGCCGGATAGGTCCATCATAAATCTGAAAGCCTCTGATTGGATAAGTCCTATTAAAATCCAGAAACATATTGAAAGACACTTTTAACCCATACATACTCACAAATATAGGTACTGGCAGATGAGCTAAGTACAAATAAGTTACATTTAAGTAAATACACAGCAGTCTCAACTGTAAATGTTAAATATTCATGACCTTAAGGCCACTGAGACAGTTTTTAACATACGACAATCATGTTTGTATTCTTCATTGCATGCCAAGTCATACAACCGTTAAATGTTAAAGAATGAAAGTGAAGATTCTTCAACTAGTGCCAGCTGTCACAGATGTTTCATATATGTGGAAATGCTAAGAAAATTTTTTACTGTATGTCTATTAAACCTACATAAGCAGTTCATGAGGAAACCGAACCAAGTTTGTTTGGTAAGTTACAAATTTTAAAAATTGAACTTACATAAAAGAAAGGGTACAACGGATTCAGTATTTAATACTTTTCTGAAGTGGATATGGACCAGCACTTTCTATGTTAGCCAGGCAGTTGCAAGAACTATTTGGGATTACGGTCTCATGAAATAATAAGTAGAGGCTTGCATTTGATGCTAAGCCTGAATAAGGCATAAGAAATAATTTTTATTTTTATTTATTTATTTTCCAATTTTTACCCCGCCCTTCTAAATTCAATGAATCTACTTTGGGCGGCTTACAAACAAATTCCCCACTGTCTCTTACAAACTGATTTCCCACTGTCTCTGCCTTCTAAGTTTGCCTGATTTACATTCCAAGAGTCTGTCTCAGAATGAATCTACTCTGGGCGGCTTACAAACATATTCCCCACTGTCTCTTACAAACTAATTTCCCACTGTCTCTGCCTTCTATGTTTGTTTGATTTCTGCTTTACATTCCAAGAGTCTGTCTCAAAATGATCTCATGCTATTCCCTATTACTATAGATGTATCTTGGTAAAAGCACCAGCCAAGCTTATCAGAATGGTACTCAGAAAGGGGGATATGACTATGCTCAGTTAAATGCTCAGTCTAAAGCAGGTGAAATACATGCCTCATATTCTGGGTGAATCTTCATTCTAAAACAAAAAAATTCATCTCACAATTCACTGCTCAGATTTACATTGTTTAATTTCCCACTGTGTTTAATCCCGCAGTGGGACTCTAGTCAAACAGAAAGATTTAGAGAGATAATTATTGACTCTGGCCACACCACATTTAAATGAAGATCTATTCGCAATTTAACCCAAGGTCTCAGCACCGACTCTAAAAATTTAAAACTGCACAAAAAATGTTAATGAGCACGCCACACACAAACCATATTTGACTACAGAAATTTTCATTAGAGTTGCTAATAGACTCTATCTTCTTTTTTCCCTTCTTACTCTTCCCACTTGTCCTAAGGACAGGTGTGGATAGCTGAATCATTCATAGCTGCATATTTTTTTTAATGGAGAAAAGTACTGAGGGGAAAGAAGTGCCAATTAGTAAATGGATTTTAGTTCAGCTTTTGGACTGCCCTGCCCTGTCTAACCCAGCTTATTTCTAGTCTACTAGTTAAACTAATGTGGTTACCACAGGGCTTGTCACTCTGATAAATTAGTGTGCTCAACACTTCCAAAAGGCTGTCTGAATATGACTTTAACACAAATATAAGGAATATATTCTTACTACTGTAAGAAACATGGAAACCTGCCTTATACTGAGTCACACCTTTGCTCCCTCTAACCCAGTACAGTTAACTCCTATTGGTAGAAGATCTCTTCACTATGCTGAACACAACTGACCTTGTTTGATTTCAGAAGTTAAGAAGGGCTGCACCTGGTTTGTTCTTGGATCAGAGACCACCAGAGAATGAGAAAGAATCCTCCTTGAAATGCTGGAAGAGCTACAGTATCCATTCTACGCTAAAGGTCTGAACCAGTATAAAGCAGGTCCCTGTGTTCTACCAATCCTGAGCTGAACGTGCCCTTGAGAACAAGGAGAACACCACTCAGCTTGGTAGATCAGTGAATTGATACCAGCATCTCAGGGGTGCCAAAACTGAGTCTTTTTATTGGCACTCATCCAGTTCATTACTGTGCTGAGGCACTGATGCAAACCACTTACAGCTTCATCTGGATCAGTGCAGAGGGAAGGCCAAGCCAACTGCATATTGCTGACACATCAGCTCAAATCTGCAAAAGACCTTTTGCACTGATGTTATACATAATGGGAGATTAAGCTGAGTTATATAAAACATCACAGTGTAAGCTTTCAAGTGGTATATCTGTGAAGATTCTTAGTCATCCAGGTGAGGTTATCTGGAAGCTGTGTGACGGCAACTGGACTTCTTTATTAGTATATGTGGTCCAATGCAAAGAGGAGTGTTCGGAGCTCTACATTGGAGAAACCAAACAGCCACTAAACAGGAGAGTGGCCCAGCACAGGAGGGGCAATGAACGGCTTAGGACCACAATCAGCAGTGTTCCTTCATTTAAAGGACAAAGGACACTTATTGGATGACCAAGATGTACTCATTTTGGATAAAGAAGATCAGTGGTTTGAGAGAAGGATGAGGGAGGCCATACATGCATATATAGAAAATCGTTCACTCAACAGCAATGGAGGCTTTAGATACAATCTGTCTCCTATTTATCATGCTGCCCTTTCATGCATCCCCACAAAGATCAGGACCACACACCAGAAAGACCATTGTTAACGACTGTTAACGGCCCATGACAATGGGTGGAGAAGGACTGCAGAAGTGAGATTTTCACTCACCCCCCAGTCCTTTGTCCATCTAATAAGCCTATTCAGGCCAGGGGGAAATGAAACCAACATGGAGGATATACCAGGGGTCTCCTACCACCTCTCCTCAGACTGAAGAAGCTACTTGGACGAGTAGCTAAACATTTCAACCTAATAAGAAAAAAGTCCAGTTGCCAAAACTCAACTTTCAAGTGGTGAAACACTAATCCTCTCCCCTAATCTGTACATTTGGGCTCCACCAACCAAGTGGAAATGTAGCCACTGCAATGCAGAAACTTCCAGCCTCCAAACTAGTGAATCCATACAGAAATATTCCATGGCCAATTATATCAAGAGATCCAGGAGAATCAACAGGTCACACTTCTTCGACTTTCTCTTGGCCATGTTTATCGCACAAGGGCACTCAAGGCAGCTTCCATTCCAGAACTGTGCCTGAAGCCCCACTGTAACAGACCTAGAAAGTCAGTTCCATCCATAAGCAGAACCGGATGTTGATTTAAATAGTTTGTTAAAGAAGAGAAAGTTAGATGATGGTTTTGGTTTCATTTTATTCTTTAATGTCTTATACAGTGGTGCCCCGCTTGACGGCGATAATCTGTTCCAGGAAAATCGCTGTTAAGCAAAATCGTTGTCAAGTGAAAAAAACAACAACCATTGGAATGCATTGAAAAATGGTTAATGCGTTCCAATGGGGAAATACCTCCTCGTCCAGCAAAGATCGCCCATAGAGAACCGCCAATCAGCTGTTTAAAATCGCTGTCTTCCAAAGTTTCTGTCCGGAAAACAGCTATTTTGTGAAGGGAGAGAAGCCATTTTGAGAAGGGAAGCCATTTTGTGGAGCCGGAAAAAACATCGTTTTGCGAACAAACGGTTCGTGAAGCAAGCACCTAATTGACGTAAAGTGAAAAAACCCCATAGGAACCATTGTTTTGTGATCACTATAGCGATCGCAAAAACTCATCGTCAAGCGATTTCATCGTCAAGCAGGGACGTGGTCAAGCAGGGCACCACTGTACTTTGATACCAGATTTTGTCATCAACATTCCCATCAGTGCCTCTTTTAAAAAGACTGCTCCATCTCTCAAGATAAAAAAGTACAATTTTCTGGATACAGATGGAAAACCGAATCCTATTAAATACCATAAACCAAGATTAGCAAAAGTCAGTACTAGCATCCAGTGTTGGCTGGATTTGGCATAGCATGCTATCCACATCTTCAGGTCTTGGTAACTGAAAACTAGCCAGTTAAGACAGGACCAGATAGTGCGCTGGTCACTTTCATGGCTGAAATTGAATGAACTATGGAATTGTGATGCAATGGATGCAACTGACCCTACTTTAAAAGTGTATTGCACATTTGTTATGCTGTGCTATCGCAGCTCCCTCTGCACATCTCAAAGACAGTTTGTAACAGGCCTCTAACCACTCAGAAAATCTCAGCTGTAAGAAACTGAGAAGATGCAATAGCACTGGAAGAAAACTCTCTCTTTACTGCCACAGCATAGATGTGAAAAGGAGTTCTAACTTGTGTTCAGGGCATAGTATGCTTACCGGTTTCTAGGCAGAGTACGAGTTTTATTGTTTACTCCTCCAGTCCCCCAGTATTTGTTCTGACCTCCTAAAAAGCCATAATTCTTGCTTTCACCAATAAACAGAGAATCCAAGAGTTGCTGACTGGAGCCCTCATCACTTGGGAAGCTTCCATCACTATGAAAAATAAAGTCAGAAATCATGTTCAGCCAAGGTGGCATAACAGCCACATCTTTCTAAGAGGCAAATATTTTGTCATTTTGTATTATATGCTCTTCTCAAAAATTTAAAAACATTGTCATCTTCACTCAAAAACTATTTCATAGCATGTCAATCGGATGATGATGGAATCCAGCTCTGCTGCAACATCCTGCACAGCTGGCTCTCCCAAAACATTTCTGTACCTTGGGCTGTTCTCTTTCATCTCATCCCATGAGCTGCAGCAGTCAGAATTACCCTACTAGGATGGAAGAGACAAACCCTATCCAATGAAGAATCTTACTGAGTGACCTCAGACCGCACATGGTCTCTTAGTCTAATCCACTGCACAGGGTTGTTGTGGAAATGAAACTGGGAAGGAGGATCATGTGCACATCACTTTGATCTCTTTGCAAAAACAAAAGGTGGGATAGAAGCACAATGAATAATAAATAGATACATATGCTATCAAAACTCCCAAAATACATGACTGGTTCCGACATATACTGAAATTAAGACAATGCAGCACTAACCTGGCAAAGGTTAAACCTATTCCATTATCAGCAAACCTAGAAGAGGTAAAAGAGAAAGAGAGAGAGAGTCAGAAGGAAGTGGCTTTTGATTATTCAAACATCAGGGAGAAAAAGACACATTACAATAAACACACTTTTGAAGAAATAACATTTAAACTGGCCTCTTCCATTTGAAGAAAAAATAGCTGCAGAACTGTGATCTAGACTGGGGTACGGTACATCTCAAACCGGAGCCCCAAAATGGCATCTTCCCACCTCCTGCATCTGCAACAAAATGGCCAGTTTAAAGAAGCATTAAAAGGGTTCTTTACTGCATCTGCAACAAAATGGCCAGTTTAAACAAGCATTAAAAGGATTCTTATAGTAGATGGGCATGAATCAGAAAAATTGTGATTCATTTTGATTTGTGCTTTGTCAACAAAACAAATCACAACATACAAATGTGCAATTTTTTTCTGATGAATCAATTTATTAATTCATTGTTGACTATAAAATCCTATGGAACCCCACCCCAAAGTACCTAGAGACAACAAATTCACTTCTACTGACTCTCCTACCAATCCCTCCAAGTTTGGTGAAGACTGGGCTTCAGACATCCAAGTTATCACTGACAAGTTTGGTGAAGACTGGATTTCAAACATCCAAGTTATCACTGACAAATTGGGTTCCCCTCACTCCAGGAAAGTGCCCTTTAGCACATGGCTTGGGAGTTTGGTGAAGACTGGATTTCAAACATCCAAGTTATCACTGACAAATTGGGTTCCCCTCACTCCAGGAAAGTGCCCTTTAGCACCTGGCTTGGGGAAACCTAATCTTCACAAGACTTGGAGGGACTGTTGAGGAGAGTCAGAGTAAGCTTCCCTGCAATTTTGGTGTCTCCAGGTGCCAGGGGGGTGTTTTATGGCCAAAACAATTGATGAATCAAAAATTGCTAAAATTCATCGATCTGTATTTGTTGGGGTCAATAATTTGTGCAAACACAAATTGACGAATTAGGGGGTTTTTTGAATGAATTTGGTGATTTATGTTTTAAATTCATGCTCATATCTAGTGCTTAGCATAGTTCATAATCTGGCCTCAAATACATCATAAAGTAAATATGTTATTTGGACAGGGCAGAGACAAAATTTGTGGTTTATAATGTGGTGTTTACGTTATAGATGATATGCCTCCATCCCAGACATTGGAAATATTACTTTTTTAGTGTTCCAACACTCAGCAGGGCCATTACCGTGCTCTCTATGGGATTCTGGGAGTTCAAGGAAGTAATGGCCCTGAACCACAAATTCTGATGACATTAGAATGTAACTTATGTTAAAGCTCAGACTTAAGCTCCTAGCCTGGTGTTTGCCTGAACACTTACAATGGCAACAAATCTAAACAATGACCCTGACTCCCACACACACTTTAGCTCTGCTCTCTCGATTTCTCATCTTGCCACTTCACTTGTGGATGAGCAGAACTGCTCCACAGATCTTTCTGCTCAGAGCATTGAAAACAAGAACTGACAATGTAGGGTTAGAGTTTCTAGGAGTCAGAATCAGTTTTCATATGCGCCCTGCTTAGGCTGAATTTCTAAACATAGCTAAGGTGACACCTGCATTTCACAAAATATTTTCTTTGTAAAAAAGAAAAAGAAAAAGAAAGGAAGTATGAACATTTCTTTCCCAAAACCATATTCAGATATTTTTACCCCCATTTAAGATAAAAATGCAAGAGTGGAACATGCTGGTTCTGCCTCTTCCATTGTTACTCGTCCTTATGTGGAGAAGAACAGTGAGGAAGGTGCACAATACCTTCTGAGACTTCTCACATATTTTATTAAACTGTGTAACACAACATTTAAATAAGGCTAAAATAAGATTATTAATATCCTCATCCTTCATGGGTTTCTTCAAAATAAATGGTATTTAATGCCATATACTGTAAGTGGACACAATATTGCTTTGTAGTGCAATACTAAGCATGTCTAATCAAAACAAAGTGTCACTGAGTTCAACATGAGAAACTCACAGATTCCAGGTAAATCCCTCAGGCATCAATCCTGTGCACACTTTCCTAACAGTACACCTTAGTTAACACGGTGGGCTTCACTCATGAAACAGTCATGTTACAGATTGCACTGCCTGGAAAATTATGAAAGCAACAATTCAAAGTACCTAGCATGAAACCTAGAAAATTTATTTTGTAGACATTCCTCTCAGAGAAAATCTGGAAATGTTTTCTGCTCATGCACAGTTCCTAGAACTAGGTCTGATGGAATTCTAATGGTTAAGACAGACCTTTTGGGTGTTATTTTCCCAGTTCATGGATGAAATTCCCATTTGAGCTTGCAAAAGGATGCCATTTCTCTGAACACAGCTGTAAGTCAATACTCCTTTGTACATCCATTATGAGACTTTACACTAAAAACTTGTACCAATACAGTCAGCTGTTGCTGGTCTGCTCAACACAACTATTTACTTGAACAGCAGGTAGATACTTTCTCTTGAACACTCACCCAGAGTTCTGAATGATGATATCACCCCCTCTGACCCAAGCTCCATGGTCATTATTTTTATAAGCTATTAGCCTGTCTATCAGAGCAGCAACTCGGGGCTTCTCAGGATCTGCATCTTGATGAGGGCGAAACCTTGGAAAAGGAGAAAAAGATAAGAAAAATTGATTTATGTACAGTACAAACAAATCTGCAGTTTTAAAGTATCCAAACTACTTCTCAGCACACAGAAAAAAAGAAATTACCTCTGCCAACTGGTTGACTGCTGAAATCAAAAGGGGGTTTACCTATACTGAGCTTTAAGCTAGGGATGGGGAGTCTGTGCCTCTCCTCAATGGTTGCGCTACTGGGTGCTACGATCTAACAACCTTTACTGGACCTCAGATTCCCCACCTCAGCCTAGCAACATAGATAGCTGCCATATGCCAACTCAGTTTACTGGACCGTCTAGCCTACTATTGTTAACTCTGATGGGCAGCAGGTCTTCAGAGTTTCTTAGCTACAAGATCTCTGGTATTTTCTGGTGACACCCCCCCCCATCTATAGACTAAACAGGCATGATCCCTGTTTAGCTTCTGAAATCAGATGTGAGAGAGTGTGTTTAGGGTAGTACATGCAATTTCAGTACCACAAAGCAAGCCCATAATAAACTTAGATTGAAGAGGACAAGAACATATACACACACCATCTGTGGTGTTGTTCTTACATGCCATCAAGTTGCCAACTTATGGCAACCCTATATATTAGTGACCTTCAAAAGGTCCTTTCATCATCAGCGATTGCCAGACTCAAGACCATGGTTTCTTTTATTGAGTTAATCCACTTCTTATTTGATCTTCCTCTTTTCCTATTGCCTTCCACTTTTTCAGCATGATTGCTACACAGTAATATCCAGTTTCATTTTTAAGTGAATATTAAGTTCACACACTACTTCTCTAGGGTTCCACCACTGTTGCTCACAAGACAATGTAGGGAACAGCGGGAAGTAATTTACAGCCATGTAAATCTTGAGCAAAAAGCTGAATTGTGATCTCACTCTTCCTACATAAAGGCTCTGCAAACGTATAGTACAATGTGCTCCAATGCAACATATACATTCCTGACAATGATGGCAACTGGGAGATTAGCCAACTTTCCACAATATTTTCCCCAGCCAAGTGCTTATGGTGTCTGTGTGTGTGTGTGTGTGTGTGTGACAATTCAAAAGCAGGACAACTGCCATTCTAGAGGGATGTGGGATGAAATGCTTGAACTATTTAACACAAGATTAAAATACCATATTTGGGCACAAATGTTTGTGGACTACAGCTCACTTAATTAGGTACATGAAGTCAACCATTATTCACAAAGTTTTAGCCAAATTAAAAATGTTATGCAAAATTACTGTATTATTCTATATTTATTTTATATTATTCATTTTCAAAACTCTCTGGTATCATTGTTTCTGCTACCAAAGAGGGACAAAGCAACCCTTCAGAAAGTTAAGTGTTTTAATTATCAAGATAATCAACAAGGATGGGATACTAATGGTTTTTATAGCTAAACATACATACAAATGAATTATTTGAGATGATCCAATATGCAATGCTTTTAATAGTAACCTAGTCAATAAAAATAAAAACACATTGCATTTTATTTCAGATCATTCCCCCTTCTTCAAGCACACACAGAGAACATGGTCTACCTTGCATTATTGTCCAAGGATAGATATTCCCTTTTATCTGCAGCACTTGCATTGGTAGTTTTCACACCTTTATCAATGAATAAACCAGCCTGTAATAATAAAAAAGAGACAAATTAGCCCTTTCTATAATACTCCCTGTGTATACTGTACTCTCTTTATTACACCATCATCATGCATATGAAGTAGGCTACATCATATGTCAAAGAAAAATTGTTAGTCTATAAGGTGACACACAACTCCTTGTCTTCTCACATCATAACAACAGATTGCAAACAAATAAGGTAGCTCCTCTGAAATCACCAACTCCATCACCACCTATTTAACTATGTGCTGTTTTTCCACTTAACTGTGCTTAAAAGGGCTCACCACAGTAAAGAAAGGAAAGGTGCCTGGGAAAATGCATATGAAGTTTTCTCAAATTAGAAGACATCAAAAAGTTGTATTTCTTACTACAGATACTAAATAGATCTCAGCAAATCCCAGAAGGTCAAAAGTCAGATGTACTGATGCTCTCTTTGAGCTAGACAAAGCCAGTATACAAGATCTAAAAAGTGCATAACCACCAAATAAAGAGATCTTCAAAACTCTCTTTTGTAGACTTGAAGGCTCAAGTATCTTTGAGACTCATGGCAGCCCATCAATATAATTAACAATGCAATTTCTTCTCCACCAGTGATATTTTTGGATTTTGCTAAAAAAAAGGGTCATGATCACAAACCAATTTAACTTAAGTAAATGTTTATTTGTTAAAAAAAAAAAAAGGGTCATGATCACAAATCAATTTAACTTAAGATAAGTTAAATGTTTATTTGTTAGTCTGACTAGAATCAATTCAGTGCTTATCCAAGAAATTAAGGTGACTCCTTTCAAAAAGAAAGAATTGCGTTATTATTTGCTATTAATACAGAACCATCAGTGCAAGTGAATAGACTCTGATACTAAGAAGCTGAGACACTATAACAGGAATGTTGTATAAAATGGATCCAAAACTGACAGATTTGAGAAGCTAAAAGGGGAGAAAATTCTCTGTCCATACTAATTAAAAACAATGTTAGCTGACAATTTCATATTCTGGTTATGCTGGACTAGCCACTTTTAGCCAAGCTCCACCATGTTATCTCAACAAACCATTTTGTGAGATGTTACTAAACCAAAAACTTTCAATGTATTTTAAGCCAAAGCACCAGGCCAGTAACCATGGAGGAAGTATGAGAATGTCAGCATTTATTCCTTCCATATTCAAAATCCACCTTTGCACATCTAAAACTTTCATTTGAGGTGACTGGTTTTGAAAGTGCATCAAAAAGTTGCTGGAAGAACATCAAAAACCATTGGAGAGATAACAAAAACTATTTTAAAATCCCACTGTCTCATCTGTATTCACTAGACGGTACCTATGACATATTATTCTACAGCCTCTAAACTTGATGTTTTACCTTAAAGTTGGAGTGAACCTTATTGTTATAGAAAATTCCTAGAGGAGTAAGTTCAGCTTTTGTTTCTGGAAACAAGCCATGCGAGTCCCCTGTAGGCACTTTGTGAAATATATACCATATTCCAGCATCCTTGAGATAAGACAGAATTAAAAAAAAATTAGTCACAGGTAAGTCTAGATACCAAATTGGTGACATCACCATAATCTTTGTGCTATGGATTAGTCCTAGACGACCTCTACTGGAAGTAGTGCTTTTTGTTCTATTTGTAAACTATCTGGACTTGGGAGGTGCATCAAAGCAGAGTATGAAAAGCACTCAAAAGAATTCCCCAAACTGGGCTAATATGAAATGAAATAATGACTGCCAATCTAAATGTACAAATATAGATTGGGCAAATATTTTTACGGATCATGTCGGACAACTCTATGAAAATGTATGTCAGTGTGCAGAAGCTGTAAAAGAGATGAGATACATCTAGGAATTATCAGGAAAGGGAGCGAAACATTCTTAGTTGCCAGTACAATAACTGTCATATCCGTGATACAGTACTGATGAAATGCAGGAAAGAGTTCTGGTTGCCAATGTTAAAAAGCAAATATTGTACAGCTGGTAGAAAAGATACAGAACATGGCAACTAGAATTAGTGGCTTTTCTCCATGCATAGGACAATGAGTGTCAGAGAGGGCATTTTTATCAAAAAAGGAAACCAAAAATTATACAGTGGCTGAAATTTTAGCCAGGATTTTAGCCAGTGTTTGAGAAAATAAGTTAGGGAAACACATTACTCACTCACTTTCATATACTGAAATTTATAGGTAGGAGATTCAAAAGCAAGCTTTTTACACAATAAATACTTTTTTATACAGCACAGTTACTTCTCTGTCACAAGACATGGTAAAAGCAGTAGCTTACATGGCATTTGAAAAGGGTTACATTTTCTGATTAAAAAAATTATTAATGGCATTGCATATAATGCAATATAGTTAGAATACACTAGTTCTGAGCACCAGTTGCTGGGGAACAATAATGTGAGATCCAAATGACACATTGTCTTGAAAATGTAGCCCTTATTTCTTCATTACCGAATCTTATACCTTTCTTCTAACACTGAAATACAAGGTCACAACATCCCAAAATAGCACCACCACCATTAAGTAGAAATTATAAACATAATTAAAATGAAAACAATTATTATGTACTGAAACAGGGATCATTAAACATTCTCGTACAACAGCAAGAATACTTAACATACAAGTCCCAAAGCCTGAATAAATAAAAGTATATTCAGCCTTTTCCTGAGCAGCTGAACTATAAGGATTGGTTTCATTTCTGTGGGGAAAGAACTCCAAAGATGGGACAGCACTATAGCATGCAACTATGCCGGTATTTCAATTGCACTCAAAGGTTAACATGGGGGACCTGATATTGACTATGAGCATCTACTAAGGACCCCTTCCCACAACCCATAATGGCCCTGACCTGGATGG